CGGCACGTCCCCCTTGAGCTGGTGGTTGTGGTTCTGCAGGGAACTGATCAGGTGCCGCATCTCCCGGTTAATGGGGCCTGCACAGGTGAGAGGGGACAGGTGGGACAGGTGAGATGGGACAGGTGAGACAGGTGAGACAGGTGAGAGGGGACAGGTGAGACAGGTGGGGACAGGTGAGACAGGTGACAGGAGACAGGTGAGACAGGTAGGGACAGGTGGTGGGACAGGTGACAAGTGGGACAGGTAGGGACAGGTGAGATGGGGCAGGTGGGACAGGTGAGACAGGTAGGGACAGGACAGGTGGGACAGGTGAGATGGGACAGGTGGGACAGGTAGGGACAGGGGAGCACAGGTGCGCCGTCCCTCACCTGCCTGCTCGTTGGCCGCCAGGTTCTGCTCGAACTCGATGCGCAGCATCTCGTACTCCTTGCGCACCTGAGCCAAGGTGTCCTCCAGCTGGATCACCTCAGTGCGCAGCCGCTTCTGCACGCCCAGCTCGTCGCTCTGCGGGGAGAGCCCCAAACCCCAACTCTGCAACCTCCTTATCCACCGCCGGGGCTTTATTCATGGTTATTCGTCTTGGGGTTTTATTTATGGTTATTCATCTTTGGGGTTTTATTTATTGTTATTCACATTCAGGGGTTTATTTATGGTTATTCACATTCAGGCTTTTATTTATTGTTATTCATCTTTGGGGTTTTATTTATTTTGGATATATATATATTTATTGAATTTTGTAATTCACCGCCGGGGCTTTATTCATGGTTATTCGTCTTGGGGTTTTATTTATTGTAATTCATCTTTGGGGTTTTATTTATTGTAATTCACCTTCGGGGCTTTATTTATTGTTATTCACATTCAGGGGTTTTATTTTATTGTAATTCATCTTTGGGGTTTTATTTATGGTTATTCATCTTTGGGGTTTTATTTATTGTTATTCACATTCAGAGTTTTATTTATTGTTATTCATCTTTGGGGTTTTATTTATTGTTATTCACCGTCGGGGCTTTATTTATGGTTATTCACCTTCGGGGTTTTATTTATTGTAATTCATATTTGGGGCTTTATTTATTGATATTCATCTTTGGGGTTTTATTTATTTTGTGTGTATATATATTTATTGAATTTTGTAATTCACCGCCGGGGCTTTATTTATGGTTATTCATTTTGGGGTTTTATTTATTGTTATTCATCTTTGGGGTTTTATTTATTGTAATTCATCTTTGGGGTTTTATTTATTGTTATTCACATTCAGGGTTTTATTTATTGTTATTCATCTTTGGGGTTTTATTTATTGTAATTCACCTTCGGGGTTTTATTTATTGTTATTCACATTCAGGGTTTTATTTTATTGTTATTCACATTCAGGGTTTTATTTCATTATTTTTATTTCATTATTGTTCTTTTCCAGAGTTTTTATTTTATTATTATTCTTTATTTGATTATTATTAGTCCTTTTCAGGGTTTTATTTTATTATTATTCACCTTCGGGGTTTTATTTCATTATTACTCCTTATTTTATTATTATTATTATTATTCTTTTCCAGGGTTTTATTTATTTGGATGGGGAATTATGGGATTGACGGCGCCGGCGGCCATCTTGGATGGGGAATTATGGGATTGATGGCTCTGGCCGCCATCTTGGATGGGGAATTATGGGATTGATGGCGCTGGTGGCCATCTTGGATGAGGAATTATGGGATTGATGGCTCTGGCGGCCATCTTGGAGCTGAGTTACGGGGATTAATGTCCCCAAACGTCCCCAAAATTGCCCCAAACATCCCCAGAATTGCCCCAAACGTCCCCAAACATCCCCAAACGTCCCCAAACGTCCCCAGCCGTCCCCGGGTGACCCCCCGAGGCCCCGGCCCACCTCCATGTGCTCGATGTGGCGCAGGTGGCTGTTCTTGGTGGCCAGCAGCAGCGCCCGCGCCTCGTCCAGCTGCGTCTTCACCTGCAGGCTCTCGTGGTAGAGCAGCGAGAACTGCGACTGCAGCACCTTGTACTCCAGGGCCTCCTTCACCGCCTCCTCGGGCAGCGAGCGCAGCGCCACCTGCGCAGGTGAGAGACACCTGAGTGACCCTGAGTGACCCCTGAGTGACCCTGAGTGACCTCTGTGTGACCCCTGAGTGACCCCTGTGTGACCCCTGAGTGACCCCTGCAGGTACTCCAGGGCCTCCTTCACCGCCTCCTCGGGCAGCGAGCGCAGCGCCACCTGCGCAGGTGAGGGACACCTGAGTGACCTCTGTGTGACCCCTGAGTGACCCCTGAGTCCCCAAATGTCCCTAATGGTGTCCCGAGATGTCCCCCGATGTCCCCGTCGGTGTCACCTTGAGGCGCTCCTGGCCCCTGACGGCCCCAACATCCCTGAGATGTCCCCAAATGTCCCCGTTGGTGTCCCCGATGTCCCCAATGTCCCTGATGGTGTCCCCCCGTGTCCCCGATGTCCCCGTCGGTGTCACCTTGAGGCGCTCCTGGCCCCTGACGGCCCCAACATCCCTCAGAGCCCCAATGTCCCCAGATGTCCCCAAATGTCCCCGTTGGTGTCCCCGATGTCCCCGTCGGTGTCACCTTGAGGCGCTCCTGGCCCCTGACGGCCGCCTGCAGCTCCAGCTGCAGCTTCTCCAGCTCGGCCATGCGGGAATTGGCCAAGTCCTGGTTCCCCTCCAGCTCCGCGTTCAGCATCTCGAACTGTGGGACATCGGCCCCGGAAACACAGGGTTCACCCCGGAAACACGGGATTCACCCCAAAAACTACAGGATTCACCCCAAAACTGCACCTCAGCTCCCCAGAACCACAGGGTTCACCCCAAAAACCACGGGGTTCACCCCAAAAACCACCAGCATTCACCCCAAAAACCACGGGATTCACCCCAGAACCACAGGATTCACCCCAAAAACACCGGGGTTCACCCCAAAACCCCGAGATTCACCCCAAAAACCCCGGGATTCACCCCGAAACTCCATCCCAACCCGCCAAAATTCCAGAGACTCCCCCAAACTGACCCAAATCCCCTCCAAACTCCTGAAATTCTCCCCAAATCCCCTCGGAACCCCCCCAATCCCAAAATTCCCCCCCCAATTCCCGATTTTTCCCAAATTCCCGGTTTTCCCCCCCAGTTTCCGGTACCTTCTGCATGCTCAGGGTGATCTGTCCCCCCTGGAAGCCCCCGGAGCTGCCGGAGCCGTAGGAGCCCGAGGTGAGCTGGGGACAGGTGAGCACAGGTGGGTCCAGGTGAGTCTCACATGAGCCCATCTGGGGCTCTCTGACCCAATTTTGGGGCTCTCTGACCCCGTTTTGGGGCTCTCTGACCCCATTTGGGGGCTCTCTGACCCCATTTTGGGGCTCTCTGACCCCATTTGGGGCTGTCAGACCCCGTTTCGGGCTCTCTGACCCTGTTTAGGGCTCTCTGACCCCGTTCCAGGCGGCCCCGCCCGGCCCAGGTGCGTTACCTGCTCCAGGGCCTCGGCCAGGTGTCTGTCCAGCCGCCCCTCGCGCTTGCGCAGTTTGGCGCTGTCCCACTGCAGCCCCTCCAGCGTCGTCCCCATCTCCAGAACCTTCGTCTCCGCAGAGGTGGCCTTGTCCTGCAGCTCGGCCAGCTGCACAGGTGGGACAGGGGGGACAGGTGAGACCAGGTGTATCCCAGGTGTGCCCAGGTGTCCCCAGGTGTGCCCAGGCGTGCCCAGGTGTGTCCCCAGCTGTGCCCAGGTGTGTCCCCTGGTGAGCCCAGGTGTCCCCAGGTGTGTCCCCAGCCCGCCCAGGTGTGCCCAGATGTATCTCAGGTGTCCCCAGGTGTGCCCAGGTGTGCCCAGGTGTGTCCAGGTGTGCTCTAGACTGGGTTCCGGAACGTTCTAGACTCGGTTCTAGATCCGGTTCTAGATCGGATTCTAGGTTGGGTTCCAGACTGGGTTCCAGGTGTTCCCCAGGTGTCCCCAGCTGTCCCCCAGGTGTCCCCAGGTGTGCCAGGTGTCCCCAGGTGTCCCCAGGTGTATCCCAGGTGTCCCCAGCTGTCCCAGGTGTGCCCAGGTGTCCCCAGGTGTATCCCAGGTGTGCCCAGGTGTCCCCAGGTGTCCCCAGGTGTGCCCAGGTGTGCCAGGTGAGGCTCAGGTACCTCCAGGGCCTCGCGCTGGTGTTTGAGGTGCAGCTGCTGGCTCAGCTCCTGCAGCCGCCGGTGCTCCCTCAGCAGCTCCCGCAGCAGCTCCCGGCCCGGCTCCGCCAGCTCCGCTGCAATTCCCGGCAAATCACCCCAAACCTGCCCCCAAATCCGGGAGCCCACACACCCCAAATCCCCACAAACCGCCCCAAAAAAACCCCGCGGAAAAAGAGCCAGAATTCCCCGAAAACGCAGGAAAAGAGGAACAGACCCCAAAAAACCAGAGACCCCCAGGAGCTCCCAAATGCCCAGAACTCTGCCCCAAATCCCCCCCGCAAAAATCCTCCAAATCCCAGAAAATTCCTCCCA